CCTTGATTTTTAAAATAGAATTCTAACCAAATACTGTTTTCCCCATTTACGATGAAATGCTTGCCCTTTTTTGCACATATTCATGGTGAAAAGGAATATCCTACATTACTTTTCCTTGAATAATGGCAGCTAGCGTCCTTTATGTTTTGTGAAGTCTTCTGTTTATTCTGAATCCAATTTTTACAAGTGAGAGGTGCTTTTTGTTTGTTTGTTTGTTTTTACAGGTTACCTCATTTCCTCCAAATATTTTACAGTTCTGAATGCTGCTACATTCTTGATTGGAGAATGCTGGCCAGTCTCCCCGAGTAGTTTACTATTTTCTGCCTCAGTAAGCTGAAGGTAAGTGACCTGAGGACTTAGAACTCCCCGTATTATGTATTCTAAGTATGAACATTGGCAGCCACAGCTATTCTTTGTCTGCTGATCATCCCTTGCAGTTATTAATCCTCAGAGGGGAAAGGCCCCAAACTTTGTATAATGCCAAATCCTTACCAGTCGGACCCCTTTCCTGACCTTTTCTGGCTTAGCTAAACGATAAGCCCTTGTTCTAGTTGACACTGTGTGTGTGTCTCTGTCTCAAAAACCTCCAGGAAATCAGCACAGAAAAATTACTAAATGAACATCCCCCGATGAGGCGAACTTTATTAAATAGCTATCAGTATGACTCATTTGGCAGATTCAGAACATTAGTCTTTTCAGCTTTAAAATAAGGATGTCTCGGGTGGTGCCTGGGGCTCAAAGGAGTGGGGTGGGGTGCTGACTCCATAAACCAGAGGTGGTGGGTTCAAACCTGGCCCTGCCAAAAACTGCAAAAAAAATAAGAAAGAAAGAAAGAGGGAAGGAAGGGAGGGAGAGAGGGAGGAAAGAAAAAAGAAAGAAAGAGAGAGAGAGAGAGAAAAGAAAGAAGAAAGAAAGAAAGGAAGAGAGGGAGAGAAAGAAAGAAAGAAAGAAAGAGAGAGAGAGAGAAAGACTCAGCACCTGTGGCTCAAGTGGCTAAGGCGCCAGCCACATACACCTGAGCTGGCGGGTTCGAATCCAGCCTGGACCCGCCAAACAACAATGACGGCTGCAACCAAAAAATAGCTGGGCATTGTGGCAGG